TTTCCTCTTAGATGCCTTGGTGAGGGTTGTACTAACGACTTTAAGATTAGTAACTTTATTAGTTAGCTCATCACAATGTTTGCACATGATTTCCATTTTAGCAAGCAAACTTTTATAAGCATCTTGTGACCTAGCTAACTTTTTCTTTTAATCTTTCATTTTTCTTTACAAGTTGCTCATCATTGATTGTGCATGTATTTGTTGTTGTACTAGTTTTAAGTTGCTCAATTTTAGTAGATAGTTCAACATTGAGATTAGCAAAGTTCTCATATTGTTCAAGCAAAGTTTTATATGCTTCTTGTGAACTATTTAGCTTTTCTTTTAATTTTTCAAGCTTCTTTTGTTGACTAGTGCAAACTTTAGCATAATTAAGATTTTTGTTGCACAATTTTATCATAAGAAGGCATTTCATCATCACTATCACTCTCACTAGGGAATGAGCTTTCGTTACCTCGTGCCATAAGACACATACGAGAAGAGCTTGATGATGAGTGCTTGTGCCCTCGCCTCTTGTAATGGTGTTCTTCTTCACTTGAAGAATCATCCCATGACCTTAGTGATGTGAGGGCTTGATTCTTGCATGCATTCTTCTTTGTCTTGGGTGTGGGCTTGTTTGGACAAACTTTCACAAAGTGCCCCAACTCGCCGCATCCATAACATCCTCTCTTTCTTTGCTTATTTATTTGATTGGTAAAAATGAGATCTTGGATTTGGATGGGCACACCCTTGACATTGAGCCTTTGGATCATCTTCTCCACCTTGTTGATTAGTTTAATTGATTCTTCATCAAGGTCGGAGGTGGAGGAGAAAGATTGATCATCATCACTTGAATCTTCATCATCATCATCATCATCCTCATCTTCTTCTTCATCTTCACTTGAGGAGCTTGAGCTTAAGCTTGTCTCAACTTGTTTGCCCTTCATCTTCTTTTTCTCGCTACATGCGAGAGCTTTGCCTCTGCTCGATGAAGAGGCTTCTTCTTGACCCATCTTACGTGACATTTCAAATGCCACTATCTTGTCAATGACTATGCCCGGGGTCATGGTGCTCAAGTCCTCTATGTTGTGAAGGATGGTGATGATGTTTGCATATTTCTTTTGTGGTAGCACAGAGATGATCTTCCTCACGATGTCCGCATCATCTAGCTTTATTAATCCTATTAAATGGAGCTCATTGATAATTAGATTCAAACGAGAATACATATCACGAACAAGTTCATCATCATTCATTGTAAAGGAATCATAATTTTGCTTAGCTAGACAATGTTTTTGCTCACGGACATTACTTGTGCCATCATGGAGCTCTTGGAGTTTTAACCAAATTTCATGTGCCGTATTTAAAGTGAACACTTAGTTAAACACATCCATACTAAATGAATTTCCTTTTCTTCACTCTTCGTGGGTTTATCGAAATTCTTAATGGGTTTCATCCCGTCACGAGTGACTCTCCAAACACCCAAATCAACCGTCTCAAGGTAGCAAGCCATTCTAGCTTTATAATATGCGAAGTTAGTGCCATCAAAGTGCGGAGGCCTAGAGGCATCCATCCCAACCACTCTAAATAGCGTCGGCTCAACGGCGGTTAAGCCAAAGGTCCAAATTAAGCCAACCGACTCTGATACCAATTGAAGGGGACCGTGACGCCTAAGAGGAGGGACAAATTAGGCAACTTAAAATTTTAACTCTAAAATATGGCCTCTTTTTCTAACCGGTTTTGCTAGTGTGTTGCTATCTCCACCGGAAAAGGAGTAATACAATCAATATAAATGCGGAAGCTAAAGAGCAAGGTAGAGATATATAAACTCCCATCGATGACTTCGGTATTTTTACCGAGGTATCGAGAAGCGCGCAAGCTTCCCCCTAGTCCTCGTTGGAGCCCCTCGCAAGGAATCCCTCTCAAGGGCCAAGCTCCCGGTCGGATAACTCCGTGGATAGCCTTGGGCCTTTCCCATGTGCAAGTGGGTCTCCGATGTGCCTTCCAGCAAGCCTCTCTCTAGATGCTCCCCGCCGTATTCACTATCAAGCTTCTGGCCGAAACGCCGCAGGCCTTGTTCCCACCGGTACACGGTGGCGGCCACACCACAAACGCGGTTGGTGTGATCTTGCAAGACTATAAGCTCTTCCGATGTACAACAATGGTGCGCGCAAGCACCGAATGGTAAGCGGTATGCAAACCTCACTAAACACTAGACCTAAATCTAGAGCAAGCGCATAAGCGGTGGTCTAATCAACCTAAGCACTTCGCAAAGCACCTACGCTAATCACCTAATGAAACACTAAGCACTATGCAAGTGGAGATCACTAAAATGGTGTATCAACACCCTAGATATGTTTCCTCAGCTCCACACCCCTCATTTGGCCGGTTGGAGGTTGTATTTATAAGCCCCACTAAGAAAGTAGCCGTTGGGGACGAAATTCGCTTTTCTGTTACTAACCGAGCGCTGATCACGTCCTGACCGAACACGTCCGGTCGTCCCGACCGTTGGAGCCGCGATCCACTAATCGGACGCTGCCAGTGTCCGGTCACATGCCACCGGACACGTCCGGTCGCATTTTCGCCGCTCTGGAACCTCTCTGTACTCGATCGGACGCTGCAGTTCTGCGTCCGGTCGTTTTGCCGCCAGCGTCTGTCACCTCTGTGAGCTCGTTTCTTCGCGATCTTACGTACTGCTTGGTTTCTATCTTCGTGCGCTTGATATCTTGGGTCTTCTCTTGTGCTCCTAGGGTCTTGCTTATGGTGTTGATCATCGGATCATCACGTCGCCTTCGTCCAAGTCACGTCTTGCATCCTATTGAACTACAAAACAATCACTTGCAAATTCATTAATCTAATTTGGTTGTATTGGTCATCAAACACCAAAATCCAAAGTAAATAGGCCTAGGGTCTATTTTCCTTACAGCATGTAGTCCATCATGTTAAGCAAAGCATCATTTATCACGTGTAGTGTTTACGAGAGTGAGAAAACTCGTGTTGATAAAGTTTCGGAGAAGGTCCATCCACCCATGGTGTTGGTGAACCCTGTGATCCTATGTGCAACTAACCTTCTCTGTAACATAGGCAAGCCCCGGAGCAGAAACCCTTCTCTAATTTTTACAAATCTTTGTTACACTTTAAGTCTTGTGAGATGTGCATTAAGTAATTAGGAGTTGGTTGAATACCGTTGTTGCATAAATACTGTTGGTGTTTATTAACGTGTCACTTGTTTTAAGTACTTAGCTACCTTTTATAAACCTATACCTTCTACCTTTAATAGGTTGTCATCCCTAGTGCTGATGCCAGAGATATGTGTTGGTACTACATAGTATTACTAGAATAACACTAAGCAGTTCTTATTGATGCAAGTGACTAAAGAGAATATGTATAAATCTATGAATACAAAGTATCCGCAAGCACACAGATAATATATCATTGTAGCATTTTATCCGAGAGTATTCCAGATATCGTTATTTATATTTTTACCACTAGAAAGGTCTAGCATGGACATGTATTGATAACTTATACTATTGAAGGAGAAATAAACCATAGACAATACTCTATTCATAACAGGGATAAGTCATAGAATAAGATATGTATAAATGATAAGTATTAATGATGATAGAGCACTCATTTCTATAGCATTAGCATGGTCAGGTAGAGTATTAGAGGAATAATTCCTAAGTCATTCTTAATTATAAGTCATAGCATACATTTGATTAGTGCAATTACACCTAGTAATTATTGCTAAGATCATCATCATATCTACACAGAAGGGATATTACTAAGAAAGATTGAGGGCAGAGCTCGTTCTACCTTCATAATCGGACCCTACGCGCACCTATATTCGATAAGTGGACTACAAAAGACTCAACGGGAGTGTCACATCCGCGATCTACCACATGACCCAGAATATAGGATGTATCCGCAGGTAAACAACGTATAAGCACCATGCTTACACAATGTCAACCACTGTAAGGTCGAGATGGCGACTAGAGGGGGTGAATAGTCATTTCTAAATTTAATCACGTTGGCTAAACGAAACAAATACGGAATTAAAAATAATTCAGTCTAGCCAAGACTACACCCCTCTATTAAAGTTCACAAGCACCTTATAAAGATCCTAGTTACGCAACAAAGGTGACAGGCTAGTTGAAGCTCACTTATTCAATTTTAGGAGCAAGGTCACACAAAGCTATGCCACTAGTATTTCAAGCAACGAGGGAGCTCCTGCACATGCTAGTAAACAAAAACACAAAGCCAACTAAGTTCACTAGCAATGCTCAATAACAAGACAACCAATACCAAATTAGAGAGCGCAAATACTTAGCTACACAAACTAAGCCATGTGACTAACGAGGTTACACAAACCAAATTAATCACGCAAGGGAGCTACTTCTATGCTACACTAGCAAGAAGGTAACTAGTGAGCTACACAAGTCAACTAATTACAAGAGCAACTACACAAGCACAATATATATGAAAGTAATTACAAGCTTGTGTAATTAGAATGCAAACTAACGGGAAGAGCAATGTTGACACGGTGATTTTCTCCCGAGGTTCACGTGCTTGCCAACACGCTACGTCCCTCGTTGTGTCGACCGCTCACTTGGTGGTTCGGCGACTAATTGGCATAACCCGCCAAGCCCGCACATCGGGCACCGCAAGAACCTACCCCAAAAGTGAGGGTAGCTCAATGACACGCTCAACTAGAGTTACTCTTCGTGGCTCCCGCGGGGCGAGCACTGTGCCCCTCACAAAGCTCTTCTCCGGAGCACCGCACAAGCTTCTTGCGGGATTCGACGGAGACCACCACCAAGCCGTCTAGGAGGTGGCAACCTTCAAGAGTAACAAGCACCATCGGCTTGCAACTCGATCACCTAGTGCCACTCGATGCAACCTCACGATACAATCGCGCTAGAATCGCTCTCTCACACAATCGGATGATGACTCATGACCCCGATGGTAATCTCCATCTCTATAGCCTGAATGATTCAGATGGATCATGGTCAGTTTCAATGGTAGCAATGTCTCAACCTTGCAATATTCATGGTTTATGTGGTCCTAATGGAATCTGCCATTACTCACCTAAACCAACATGTTCATGCCCACTAGGTTATGCGATGAGAAACCCAGATAACTGGACTGAAGGATGTATGGCTATTGTCAACATAACCTGTGATGACTATGACAAAAATTCTATGAAATTTGTGAAACTTCCAAATACAGATTTTTGGGGGTCAGATCAGCAACATCTTCTGTCAGTTTCTCTTCAAACTTGTAGGAATATTTGCATCAGTGACTGCACCTGTAAAGGCTTTCAATATCAGGAAGGTACAGGATCATGCTATCCAAAAGCTTATCTTTTCAGCGGAAGAACCTACCCAACATCTGATGTACGAACAATATATCTCAAGCTTCCAACAAGGGTTAATGTTTCGAATGTCCCTATTCCACATTCCAATGTGTTTGATTCTGTGCCCCATCGCCTTGACTGTGATCAGATGAACAAAAGCATCAGAGAACCATTTCCAGATGTGCATAAGACCGGTGGAAGAGAATCAAAATGGTTTTACTTCTATGGGTTCATAGCTGCATTTTTTGTTGTTGAAGTTTCCTTTATTTCATTTGCATGGTTCTTTGTTTTGAGAAGAGAGCTTAGGCCATCAGAATTATGGGCAGCTGAGGAAGGTTACAAAGTAATGACTAGTAATTTTAGAAGATATAGTTACAGAGAACTTGTGAAAACGACCAGAAAATTTAAAGTTGAGCTAGGAAGGGGAGCATCAGGCACTGTGTACAAAGGTGTCCTAGAAGATGATAGGCAAGTGGCTGTGAAGAGGCTGGAAAATGTAAGGGAAGGTAAGGAAGTGTTTCAAGCTGAGCTAAGTGTAATTGGGAGGATCAACCACATGAACCTTGTGAGGATATGGGGTTTTTGTTCAGAAGAATCTCATAGGTTGTTGGTCTCTGAATACGTTGAGAATGGATCACTGGCTAACATTTTGTTCAATGAAAAAAGCAATATCTTATTGGACTGGAAGGGAAGGTTCAATATTGCATCAGGTGTTGCAAAAGGGTTAGCCTATCTTCACCATGAGTGCTTAGAGTGGGTCATCCATTGTGATGTGAAACCTGAGAACAAACTGTTAGACCAAACTTTTGAGCCCAAGATCACTGACTTTGGGTTGGCCAAGTTACTAAACAGAGGAGGTTCCACCCAGAATGTATCCCATGTAAGAGGAACACTAGGTTACATTGCACCTGAGTGGGTTTCCAGTCTCCCGATCACAGCAAAAGTTGATGTATACAGTTATGGGGTTGTGCTTCTTGAGTTATTGATAGGCCCTAGAGTTTCAGAGTTGGTGGAAGGTCCAAGTGAGGTGCACAATATGCTTAGAAAGCTTGTCAGAATGCTTTCTGCTAAACTTGAAGGGGAGGAACAATCGTGGATTGTTGGGTTTGTGGATTCGAAATTGAGTCGTCCGGTCAACTATGTGCAAGCAAGAACACTAATCAAATTGGCAGTTTCCTGCTTGGAGGAAGACAGAAGCAAAAGACCAACTATGGAATATGCAGTCCAGACCCGCCTGTCAGCTGATGACTGAATGGTCAAATAAAACATATGCTACACCAACTTCATTCAGTTGACAATTTACTTCTTGCTGGAGAAAAGAAGCAAAAGACCAACACTCCAGGCCCTCCTATCAGTTGATATGGCTGGTAAGAAGTACAATTTTGGGTGTTTACACAGATGTAAATTATCTGTAAACAGTGTGCATTTCAATTTGTCACTATATGATACGAGTTGTAGCATGTAATTGAACTTGTATAGTTAGATGTAATCATCTTCAAGTTACCGGTAGTGAAACAACAACTTTTGCCATGGACCTAGGTGTGCTTCCTTATCTGAAATTCTGAATACATCTTATTTGTGGTCTCACGATTGTGAAAAAACATGGAATCAGTAATAACTAATAAATATGGATAATAATGTCCTTACCAACTAAGAAGAGTAAAGACAAGGAAGAATAGTGATCTTCTCCTCGTATTGCTGCTGCTGCGACGGCGTCGTCAACCGCTTGACGTGCCTAGCGCAAGGGTAAGGGTCTGACGAGTGACGACGTTCGCAGCCGGCAATGCCCCTATCAGAGCCAGATACGGAGCGGGCGGCGGCGGTCACCCAGCGCTCTCCGTTCCCAGATACGCCCCCCAGGCAAGTGGACCGCTGAGCCCGAGCCGCGAGATCTAGGTCACGGCGCTCCCACCGCAACCCGCTGCCGCCGCCATGTCACAGTCGCGGAGTCGCCGCTCAACATCTAAAGACTGGCACCGACCGCGCCGGGAACAGCCTCGGCCCCTCCGTCGAGCCGCAGTGGTGGATGCAGTGGCTCTCTGAATGGAACGCAGTGTCCACGACGCCGGCGTGTGCGCGTAACGGCGTTCGGCGAGGAGAACCAGAGTGTCCAGCAGTCCACGGTCCACGCGTGGCTGACAACGTTGGACCGGACTGTCGGTGTCGGTGTTCGAGACTGTTCTCCGTGCACTTCGTAGGCTTAACCCGTTAGTCTAAAAATACGTACTCTCTCCGTCCAAAATAAGGGTGCATCTCCGTATTTAGAGGAGTCCAGCAATACTAAGTTTGACTAGATTTATAAAAAACAGCGCCATGTTCGCTTGAGCTACTTTTCAGTTATGAAACAGTATTTTTCTCTCACAACATTTCAGCATAAGCATCAACATAAGCCAAATTTCAGCATAAGCAAACAGGATAAATATTAATATTTATATCTTTAAATAAGATTAGTATGAAAATATACTATATGATTAATCTAGTGATGATCATTTTATATTATAAATCTTAATATTTTATTATATAGATTTGGTCAAACTTAAGTTTATTTGACTCCTCGAAACGTGCTATGTGTACTTATTTTAGGGCAGGTAAGGAGCATGGATGAGTTCACTTATCTGGTGAGATTTCCTCCGGGGCAGAGAGTGGACAGGATAGTGTTCAACAAGATTTCATACTTCTACTTAGAGAAAGATACAGTGATGGCTTCTTTAAAGGTGTGGAATGAAAATATTGAGCCAGTGAGTAGCTTGACTGAGGTTTGGGTGCAAGTCAGGGGCATTCCTCCTAAATGATGCGATTAGGTCACTTTCAGGCAAGTTGCTTCTATAATTGGGAAATTGGTGGAGGTGGACTGGCAATCTCTTTTTGCTAGTTTCTTTGCAATGGTGAGAGTTAAAGTGAAATGCAGAGACCTAGTTAAAAATCTCGAGAAGAGGGTTATGGAAATGAAGGATGAACTTTTTGTGATCAGCTTCAAAACAGAAGGCTTTGAGCAGATATCTGAGAAGACTGGGAAGATGGAGATGATGGTGGCGATGATGGTGATGGTGATACATATTTGGATGAGGATGACCTACTGTCTAATGAAGAGAAAGAGAAGGAGGGTGATCCTACCAGTCCTAAAAATGGCAAACCCTCTGATTCTGCAAATCAAGGGAAGAAAGTAGGCGAACCTCTGGATAAGCAATCTAAGCAGTCTATGCCGAGTGAGAGTAAGACAGTAAGAAACCTTAGTTAGCTCTTTGCGGTGGAGATGCTAGATAATGATGTCAACAGAGAAGCAATGGAATCTTCATGCATCAGTCTCCTAAAAACTATGGAAATAGAGGACAGGGAGGAAGTGTAGGTAGATGATGTTGGTGAGACTTTTGAACCAGAAGAAGAAAGCCTGAAATTGCCATCTGAGTGGCTGTATGGATACTCTGATAGTAGTGGTCAGCTAGATCAGCCTTTACTGAATCAAGAGAGTACTGAGAGTAATTCCAACAGTTCTGATATTCAACAAATTGATACTGTACCTAGGGTTGAGGTCCGAGAAAAAGTTGGTAAAGTAGCTAGTTCTAAACCAAGGAAGAGGGGTTGGGGTCCTGTGCCACCAGAAAAGAAAAGCAAACGAGTTCCACTGAGCGGGGTGAATATGCTAGAAAAAGCACAAGCTCTCAAAAGAAAGAACGACCTAAAAATTGAGAAAGGTAAAAAAGTTTCAAAATAAATTTCTACTTCTTCTTTGTTAGAAATAGCTTCTAGTATTGATCTTGACGTTCCAGCAGAGGAACTGTCTAAGCAAAAAGTAGTCAATCAAGTTCTAGAATTAGAGATAGAAAGAAATAATAGTTTTAGTGTTGAATGTAGTGCTGTAGACTGTCCTGCTAAGGTAGACATAAAGGAAAAGCTGACTTCTGTTGGAAGTCAACAAAAAGTTGATTCTGATCATATATGATGTAGTTTCTCTGCAGTAAATGGAAACTCTCTGGATGTTAGTGGAACTGCTGGTTCCAACTGTCAGAGATCTTCCAAAAAAATAATAGGGGCTCAAATCCCACAACTCCTGATGGGAGGATTAGTAAGGCTGAGGACTTGAACATTTTAGAGGCTGAGATTGAGAAAGCCTAGAATAAAGTAGTTAATAGGAAGAAGAGCAAGAAAAGGAAATGATAGGTCTCTTTTGGAATATAAGAGGTTTGGACAAAATAGGAAGATTACCTGCTTTAATTAATAGGATTAGAAGTACTAGAGCTGATTTTGTAGGTGTCATGGAAACTAAGGAGTCTTTCACTCTTGGTTATCTTAGATCTTTTACTGGTAATGTGCCTTTTGATTGGTTCTATCTTCCTGCCAAAAAGTCTACTGGTGGCATTCTGGTTGGTAGCAATAGTGATAAATTTTCGGCTACTTTAATTTCTACTTTAGAGTTTTCTGTTAGCATTATGTTGCAGGATACAAAGACGGGTTTTAGCTAGAAATTAGTAGTAGTTTATGGTTCCCCTTATTAGGAGGGAAAGGAATCTTTTATAAAATAATTACATTCTATTATGGAGTCCTGGCAGGGACCGGTCATTTTAGGTGGTGACTTTAATCTGATTCGTTTTGCTTCTGACAAAAACAATGCTAGGATTAATTATAGATGGGCTGATGCTTTTTAACGAATGGGTGCATAAGTGGGCTCTGCTGGAACTCAATGCATCCAATAGAAAATTCACTTGGACCAATAACCAAGACAATTTGGTAATGGCCAAAATAGAATGAATTTTTGTGTCTACTGAGTGGGATAGTGGCTTTCCTTTAGCAACTGTTAAGTGTCTAGATAGAATCCCCAGTGATCATAATCTTCTGGTCTTGGAAACTGGTTCTAATGTATTTTTTGGTAAGAAACATTTTAGATTTGAAGAGTGGTGGCTCTACCAAGAGGGTTTTTCTGACATTGTCGAGAAAGCTTGGAATACTCCGTGTAATTTGGCTAATAGTTTAGATAAATGGCAATTCAAAATTAGGACTCTTCGAAGGTTTATTAGGGGTTGGGCTATGAATGAAGTGTCTAGGCTGAACAAATATAAAAACGAGCTTGCTTTGGAATATAATGATTTGGAAGTCAAGTTGGATTCTAGAATGTTATCTGAGACAGAGAGAGAGATAGATTAGACTTTGTTTCTAAGGAGTTAGAGAAGATTTGGGCCTTAGAGGAGATTAAAGCGAGGCAAAGGTCCAGAGACAGAAATATCTTAGAAGGGAATAGGAATACAGCATATTTTCCTGCTGTAGCTAACCAAAGAAGTAGAAAGAAGAGGGTAGAGGTTTTGGAAGGCCTTAATGGTCTAGTGGAAGACCAGAAGGGGATGATAGACATTGTGTTAAATTTTTACAAACATCTATTTAGGAGAGAAGAGAAACCTCCTATCTCGTTAGGTCAGGATTTTTGGAGTCAGGAGGATTTAGTGAGTAATAGTGAGAATGAGGTGATAACGGCTCCTTTCTCTGAAGGAGAAATTAAGGAAGTTGTTTGGAGTTGCTATGCTGATGGTGCTCCTGGTCCTGATGGACTCTCATTTATGTTTTATCACAATTCTAGGATTTGATTAAGGCTGATTTGGTTGATATGTTTAATGATTTTCATAGAGGGGATCTTGATTTGAAAAGACTTAACTTTGCAATAATTTCCCTCATTCCTAGAGTGGAGGAAGCTAGATCCATGAAGAATTTTAGACCTATCAGTCTTATTAACTGTAATTTTAAAGTGTTCTCCAAAGTGTTAACTCTTAGATTAGGAAAGATTATGAATAGATTGATTTCTCCTCAATAGAGTGCCTTTATTCAGGGCAGGTATATTTTAGAGAGTGTTGTGATTGTTCACGAATTAGTGCATAATCTTAGCAAATCAGGTGAACATGGGATAATCCTGAAATTAGACTATGAGAAGGCTTATGACAGAGTTAATTGGGACTTTTTGTTTGAAATCCTTAGAACTAGATGTTTCAGTAATACTTGGATTGATTGGATTAGACATCTAGTCATAGATGGCTCTGTGGGAGTCAATCTTAATGGTGAGGAAAGTAGTTTTTTCAAACTTGGGAAAGGGTTAAGGCAAGGTGATCCTATCTCTCCCTTGCTTTTTAACTTAGTAGGTGATGTTCTCACAAAAATGCTCCAGAAGGGGGCTGAGATGGGTATCATTAAGGGGATTGCTGAAAACTTTAGAGTAGGTGGTATTGTGTCGTTGCAGTATGCAGACAACACCATTCTTTTTCCCAGAGTTGAGGAGAAATATACTATGAACCTGAAAGGTATTCTCATTTGGTTTGAACAGTTGTCTGGCATGAGGATCAATTTTTATAAAAGTGAATTAATCCTAATGAATGTTGAACCTGAAGTAGTTCATAGTCTTGCTCATTTGTTCTCCTGTCCGGTTGGTAGCTTACCTATCAAATATTTAGGGGTTCCTCTGCATTTTGAGAAGCTCAGTAGGGAGGACATTCAGCCTCTAGTAGATAAAATGTTGAAAAAGCTGGACGGCTGGAGAGGTAGACTGTTGTCCTATGTAGGAAAACTAGTTCTGATTAAGTCTTGTTTAGCTAGTATTCCTGTATACTTACTCTCGTTTATTAAATTTCCTAAATGGGCCATTATAATTCTAGACTCACATCTGGGTAACTGCTTATGGGATGATAGCCCTACAGCCCGCAAAATTCATTTGGCCAACTAGGAAAGTGTGAGTATGATGAAAGAGTATGGAGGTCTAGGTGTTCCTAACTTGAGAGATTGAAATTTGTGTCTTTTAGCCTCTTGGATCAAAAGGTATAATTTAGATGGTGATAAGATGTGGAGGCAATTTTTAGGTTTCAAGTATAAAACCGCTAGACCAAACATCATTTTATAGCTCCTCCACTGGTGTTTCTGAATTCTTTAAAGGTATGATGAGAGCTGCTTCTGCAGCAAAAATGGGTTATAGATGGCGTATAGGAAATGGTAATAAGTGCAAATTTTGGGAAGATAATTGGTTAAGTACTTCTAGTCTAGCTATTCAATAATAGGAGATCTATGCGTTAATTAATGAGAAGGATGCTACTGTTGCATCCCTTTGTGATGGCAGTGATGTGAAATGTACTTTCAGAAGATGTGTTGATGGTAGATTATACGATCTTTGGTTAGAAGTAGTCCAGTTAGCTTCTACTATCATTTTTACTGATGAGGAAGATTCTCTAATTTGGCAGTTTAATTCTCAGGGTGTTTACTCTTCACAGTCCTTGTACAAAGTCATTAATTTTAGGGGAATTTCTCCTGTATATGTTCCTGCTGTTTGGACACTGAAGGTCCCACCTATAGTCCATTTTTTCCTATGGTTATTGTCAAAGAATAAAGTTGTGAGTAGAGATAATTTGAGTATTAGGAAGAAGATCAAGGATCCTACTTGTTTGTTTTGTTCAGAGGCTGAAACTGTCAATCATTTATATTTTGACTGCGTAGTAGCAAAGCAACTTTGGTCCATTCTTTCTGAAATCTTAAATAAGCAGGTTGGTACATACTTTGTGTCTATAGGACCTATGTGGATTAGCAATAGAAAATTTGTAGTGGAGAATATTTTTTGTGCTGCTGCCTTATAGGGGCCGTGGAAACTAAGAAATAGCCTGTGTTTTCGGGGAATACTCTGGGTCGATGTGCGAGTGCTGGTACTGAAGATAACAACTATGCTGCACAGTTGGAGTCCTCTATGTCCGAAGGAGAAAGTCTCAGAATTTCTTGATCGCCTGGACAAGCTGAAAAGCTTTGCTACAAGACCTCACCGACTACCTGGTTGAGTCAGGTGAATGACCAAATGGGAACGTGTCTTATATCAAGCTGGGGCTGATTGGAAGAACAATGCTTTACCTGATGAAGCTAAAGCCCTGCTGGCAAATGGGGATGACCTGGAGAAGATGGTGCGTGAAGGGAACTGGATTAACTTTTCGAGCCTTGCGGAAGCCTGGAGAATGTAGCCCAGCTGGCAAATGGGGATGACCTGGAGAAGATGGTGCGTGAAAGGAACTTGATTAACTTTTCGAGCCTTGCGGAAGCCTGGAGAATGTAGTGTCTGATGCCAGTAGTTACACTTGCTGTTCTTGTGCTTTCTGTTTTGCCTGATGAGGCTTTATGTGCTCAGGTGGAATTCTGAACCCGGAGATTTTGTAGGGCACCAAACGGTTTGGTCTTTGCCTAAAAGCCGGGGGCCACCTTTGAACTCTAAAAAAAATATCTATATTTAAATATGTGTTTTTTTTATCAAAATCTTTGTTTTTAGGAACCAAGAGTTGGTTGGAGTTGCTCTGATCTCAATCTCGATCGAGCACTCACAGCCATCAATCACCCTTTTTGTCCGTGTAGCGGCGACTCACCGAAGACGCAGGCAGAGACGCGCGCGCACGTCCTGACCCGCGTCACCCGCCCCTCGGCCCCTGTCACTTTCGAGCGAGCGCGTGTGTGTGCTCAGTGAGCCAGTGACCATCCTCCCACCCTGCTCTCCTCGGCTCCCCCACCAAGAACCCCAAGATTCGCTCGCCCGGCCTGCCGCCATGGCCAGATCGGCGCCGGGGCTGCCGCCGCAGTACTACGCGGCCGCGGGCTCCGGCCATCGCGCCTCCTCCTCCTCCTCGCCCGCCGCGTCCTGCGTCGTGGCGGTCCTCTTCCTCCTCCTGGCCGCCGGCGGCGCGGCGGCGGCGCTGTTCGTGCTCTTCCGCCCGCGCGCGCCGGCCATCGCCGTGACGGCCGTGCAGCTGCCCGCCTTCTCCGTGGCCAACGACACCGTGGCCTTCACCTTCCAGCAGCTGGCCTCCGTGCGCAACCCGAACCGGTCCCCGCTCGCGCACTACGACAGCTCCCTCCACGTCGCCTACGCCGGCGGCGAGGTCGGCTCCATGTACATCCCGGCCGGCCAGATTGACGGCGGCCGCAGGCAGTACATGGCCACCAGCTTCACCGTCCCCGCCTTCGCCGTCTCGGTCTCCGCCGCCGCCGCCGCCGCGCAGCCGACCACCATCTCCGTCCCCGCGTCCGGCCCGTCCCCTCACGTCACTGCGGCTCTAGTGCAGGGGCCGGTGATGGAGGTGGACTCGCTGCTGCGGGTCAAGGGCAAGGTCACCGTTCTCAAGGTGTTCACCCACCACGTCGAGGCCGCCAAGGTGTGCCGCATTGGCGTCTCGCCGGCCGACGGCCGCGTGCTCGGCTTCCGGTGCTGACCGTCGGCCGATCTCACTAATGCTGGCCGCCCCCGCCCGGCCAAGATCTGACAATCTCATCACCCCTTCAGCCTGGTCGGTAGGCCCTGCTCTCCAAATCAAAAGTAGCCTCGTCGATTCAGACTTCAGTTCAGTCATCAGTGAAATTGTGAGATAAGGTTGTTCGATTTGTAAATTAGATTAATCTCTACGGTTCCCAAGATTTGTTGTACTTCTTTATGCTTGTCTGATTTACTAGATTTTGCGGCCGACGTGTTCTTGTTGTTGTAGATTATCACGGGTATAGATTTCATAGTCAGAGTCCAGACCAAACAAAGATTTGGTTCTTGAGATGGTGGTTCTTGTTCCAGTGGGAATATTGGTTGCTTATGTCAACCAAACATAGTGACGGGAAATTAATAATATCAGTTTGCAATGCATTCCGCTTTCATTCTTGCAAAATTCAAGTTGAGATTACCATCATGGGTAGCAGATTCTTTGGGGGTGATTAGGTCGAGCATATTCTGAGCTCAAGTTGCTATTGTACGAGGCATCATAATTGGGCAAGCACCAGCCTATCCATCCGGGCAGCTGTAGTAACTGTTCAGGGCAGGAACAGCGAAATATTTTCCGCCTTCCAAACGGACCCTCGGTGTTTGGTGAGTATGGTTGTTAGATTACCATCATGGGTAGCAGATCAGGACGGCAGTGGTTACTCACTGTGAACCATGTGCTGCCGACGTTTCGGGGTTTACCGGCCGTCAGGTTTGGACCTCATCACTTTCCACAAAAAACTGGTAGGTTGGATTTTGATTAAAAAATTATAAAATTCATAAAATAAAAATATTCTTAAAAGGAATTAGAACCTTTTTTTTGTGAAGAACAACTTAAATACAACCTATATAAATTTATTTCACTTAAAAAGAATTAACTAAAAATTGCTATGTATGAAAACGACAAACGTTTCTAGTGATTCTCATTTCTTATCTAACCCGTTTGACAATGATTTTACCAATTCTCATAAGAATTAGAAACATTTCTGGTTGACAAACGGGTCCTAAATTACACTGTCCTAGTAAAACTACCTAAAGAAACTATACATTGTAACTGCCCTTAACGATGCAATTAGTGCAGTAGCATGAATAATCCGACATATTTGGTGGATGGGACGGGATAGTCCTATATTTCTAAATAATGATCGATCAAAAAAATAATAACATTAGCAAAAATGTATTGTCAACGTAAACTCCAAAAAATGAAGAGCCTGACAATAAAGCTCCAATGTTAGCTTGATCAGTGATCAGATCACACACGCGCACATGTGCTCCAACTTTGTATTTGTTGTAGTGACAAATTATTGGTGGGGCCCCCGTGGGCCTATTCTACCCACCACGTGAAACGAAAGTTGGGGAACGAGATCCTCTAACTTCGGAACGAGATCTCGTTCCAAAGTTGGAGCCAGCCGAGCTATGCTCACTTTTCACGCCAATTGTTCGATATTTAGGTGATTGACTGTAGTAGATATGTACCGGTAACAAACGTAGTCAAACATTTTTCTCCTAATCCAGATCAACTGTGTCACGAGAAGGTTGAATGGGTTGGCCCCAGCAAGTCCTGGGCGTTTGTCCCCAGCAAGTGTAATATTATGTGACAACATGATTATGTTAGGTGTTCATACGTTAAGTGTTCATACGATATAACAATAGTAATATTACATAGAGAACACATATTTTATATTTTTACATACTTTTAACTATTTAAAAACTATTTAATAAATATAAATCTGAATAAATCTATAACCCAGTCATACATAATTCAATGAACGTGAAATTTTTATTTCGTCTCAAACATACAATGATTAGTTCACCAGAAAAATTTCACCACAATAGAACCACAAAAACTACAACTATGAATTAATCATAGAAAAGTATAGATCTAAAGCTAGAGCAAAAAATTTGTACCAAAGCATACCATATCATATGCTTACTGTGTAGATCTACTCATGTGGAGTCTAACAAAATGAGATTTTCGATTTTATGATTTTTTGTAATTTACTATGATTTCTTAAAGATTTAGCCAAAACAAATATAAAAGAAAAAGAGAAAAATCATCTAGAGAAACAATCAGGGAGGTCATATATCCGGTTTGAAAAGATGAGAAGGAGTTATGTCCGGTTTTCTAGTTTAGGGAGAAAAAACTGACTTTTGTGATAATTGAGGGAGACAAAGTAGACTTTTTCCATGCAAAATCAAGAATTCACCTTCCTTGTTGCTTGCTTGGGCTAAGCTCTTATGGTTAGGATGTTGGAAAGGCCATATTGGCTAATGGGCTAGAGGTTGGAAAGGACATATTGGCTAAATTTTAGGCTCCTCTCTCTGGTCTAGGGCATCGTACACCAACACACGTCAACACTCAACAGCAGATCTAGCAGCAAAATCCTGTTTTGAATTGAACATAGTTTGGCAAAGTTGCCTGGGGCTGTTTGGTTTGAGCCCTGGCCTGGGGGGCTGCACCCAGGCACATGCATCCGACCCTAGGCGTCCAAAAACCAACGCCTGGGATGCATGCCGGGCAGATTTGCCAGGGCGTCAACCAAACTAACCTAGATTTTAGACTTTTGGGGGGCTGCACTCAAGCACATGCATCCGACCCAGGTGTCCAAAAACCAACACCTGGGATGCATGCCAGACAGATTTGCCAGGGCGTCAACCAAACTAACCTAGATTTTAGACTTTTGGGGGCTGCACCCAGGCACATGCATCCGACCCCAGGTGTCCAAAAACCAACGCCTGGGATGCATGCCAGGCAGATTTGCCAGGGCGTCAACCAAACTATCCTAGATTTTAGACTTTCTATGTTTCTAAATAAGTGAAAATAGAGAGATGTTTCATAGGGATAGGTTCGTAGTTTTTAACTAAATAACTTATAGTTTTCCACAATTCACGGCTAAACTAAACAGATCCATAGGCTTCCAAACTTGTTACTAGAGCTAGTATATTCCCACTATTTTAACAGTATTCTAGAAAATGGATCCAGTCAATTAGTTAGTCCCATTCTCTTCGCTATAACATCCATAGTCTATCAAATAAACATGAACATTGATCACTTCTTGAGCCCAATACCTTCATAACAGAACTCAAACGACACAAGAACGTAATACAGGCATTTTTGGGCCAACTTGTAAGATTTCTTGAATTCATTACACACAATTACTTTACAAGAACATTTTACACGCTACAATTTTACTGGTACAACATTGCAACGGCAGAGACTATAATGAAAACATAACAACATGACAATTTTGAAACAAGCCAGCCAAATAGCACAATATTTTCTTTCTTTCTTTTGCAAGCGGTAGAGTTACCGCCTGTGACCGGAAGGTCTCGGGTTTGAGTCGCGGTCTCCTCGCATTGCACAGGCGAGGGTAAGGCTTGCCACTGACACCCTTCCCCAAACCCCGCACAGAGCGGGAGCTCTCTACACTGGGTACGCCCTTTTTTCTTTTCAATCGTCTCCCTTGCTCAGCTGCAAAGGTTAGGAATGCAGGCTCCATCCGGGTTGGTCTGCTCTTTCCAGATCCGCCCAGTCACCCTCAACTTCAGCTCCTTCCTGTCACCGCCCGAGAAGAACAGCGCCATATTCCTCTGGATGATGAGGCCATCATGGCTGTCACGGACCTTGCGGTGGCTGTCACGGATGCTTCTAGGAGTACCTTCCCATACCATTTTCCTCCCATTACCACCAACCTCTAGGCTATATGTATAGTTCCTTGCTTCATTCTCATCACCCATGAATCGGAGGAAAGCCATATACACTGGAGCCATTCCGAGCTGGAATGCCTCAAAGTGCAGGCAGAAGTACTGCCCAAAACAATGGAATACCTGAACAGAAACACAACATTCAACCAGTCAAATTACTTGAGAATACATATTTTACTTGTTAACCATGGATCATAAGACCAGCAATCTTTTAAATATATGATGTTTAGGACAAGTAATTAGTTCATACATCGTACATGTAAAACTAGATGGAGTAGCAGATTAGGAATAATTCAGAGCTAGTTTAATCTTACTGTTAGCATCCAGGTGGCATTTTCAACCTCTCGCGGATTGGATTTGACGTATCTATGGTTGAACGTGCAGCCACTGTGCATATCAACTTTGTGATCATCCCTCAAATGTGCAACAAGGAATGGAATATCACCAGCCACAGCACATTCAGAGCCAGCGTAGGGGCAGTTATATGGCCTGAAGCTGCACTGCGCTTCATGCTTTATCTTGCTGTAGTATGGAAAGATCTCTGGGCAACCTAAAGAGCAGTACTTACAAGGAAGCTCAAGTGACTCTGCTACTTTTTCCAATGCTAAGCACCTGATATCACCAAGCTCTTGTCTGCATGTAGGGCACCGGTTGTGCACCCTGGCCTTGCATGTTGAACACAAAGTATGTCCATTTTGACACTGTTAAAAAAGCAAATAAATTCAGCAATCAACTATGGAAGTATTCTACTGAAAGGGCTATAGTTGATGAATAAGCTTTACAGAACCACAAAATGGAACCATATTCATTTGTCTACTGTATTATATATGCTTCTAGCATTACGAAAAAAATTGCATGTTCCCTCTGAATTGAAGTGGTTCCACAGAACATGTGGATAATCCTGAAAGAAACTGCACAGATCAAAGTAATAGGAAAACTGCTCTAAAGATGTCTGCCTAGGTGGAACTTAATCACCTCCCAGCCTGCCCAGGAGGTGCGGGCTTGTTTGGATGGTGGCGTCACATTCTTGCCTGGCCCAGGCAGCAACACCAGGCGTCCGTTTTCGTCTGCCTGTGGCCAGAATCATTTGCCTAGATTGCCATCCAAACACGCCCAGGTGCCACCCCACTGCCTGGCTTGCTAACTAGCACTCGGTTTGATTCCAAATCCACATTTTTTATGTCATTAATACTTATGAGTTCATAACTAAAGATTATTAAGTTTAGCACACAGAGGGAACTGATTAGTGATTCCTGGCCCCAGGTTTATTTGAAAAAGAAAAGGAAAGCAAAAAAAAAAAAAAAAAATCAACGAGGGGAGAATACATGGATGAGGTCGAGAGGCAACTTTCCTCTTGATTCGAAAAGGATTCCACCTTATTTTCCATGCAGGAATAGGCTCCTAACAAGACAATCCAAGGTCTCAATCCACCTTATCTCCAGATGAAGCTTGTTAAATCGAGCCTAGACTTGAAAACAGCTATTTGGCTCCCTCAAATTCTAAAAACTGTGCAAAATACCTCATAATGTGGCATCCAATTTAGAAAAAACAATAAGTTTTAGTATTATCATATGAACTGCGATGCAGGAAAGACCAAACCACCTGCTTCCACTTTTCCAATCTGCCATCATTCATGTATGATCCAATGGTACAAATAAAATTTTTGAGAATTTCCATGATTAGGATGCCACATCAAGACTGTGTTTGCCCGCTAGGACGGCATGCAAATCAAATCATGGTTGTCAAGTGCCAATAGGGTATTCTTGCATTGGTTTAAGAGTTTGAAGGTGCCTATGTTTGCATTTAGTCTGATAGTTCACTTCTTGACTTGCCACGAATACCTTTTCTTACTTGCAATTTTCACAGGAGAGCTGCCCATCATTATATAAGGAATGAATAAAGATCAATCCACCTTACAAAAACCAGAGACAAAACCCAACCAAACACACACACAAAAAAAGAAACAAAAGTCAGGTTAAATACAGTCCAGACTCCAGAAGCAACAAGCAATGGGAATAAACGAAAATAAATAAAAGGACCATCATGGGTCAACACTCTGTTATGAAAAGGCTACGGATAGATGGATTAGCAGAGAGACCCCAGATAGCCACCTTTCCTCGGGACTATCTTAGGATTTCTTCTTGCTTGCCTCTAACGGATACATGGTGGTCCCTTTTATAGAGACAACTTACTTAACCGAATCAATCTATCTTATTCCTTTCCTAACAAACCAAATCAATCTAATCTAATCAGATCCGGTACTGTTCACGCGGCACTGTTATTCCTTTCCTAACAAACCAAATCAATCTAATCTAATTCTAGGCGCCACCTATCTACAGTGTCGCGTGGGTCCCCTGGGCTGGCTCCACCTGCCATAACACACTCTAGCTGTTATGACCGGTATACAATATACCAGGCACCGGTGTACAAGTGGCTAGGGGCGCCCAGATCAGCCCAGATCAGATAGGTGGCGCCTAGAATTAGATGGGCTAATAGCCAAATTATCCTTGTGTTTTATTATTTGATATATTCCCCAAATAGATATTTATTTCTTAAAATAGGGCCTCTTCGAGGGGATATATATATCTTGTAAACATTATTGAAGGAATCAAGCAAGGCAAACATTATTTGCCTGGCCTCAAGGGCCAAGGGCTGCATATGTGGCTTCCTTGCCTCCCTGCCTCCTCTCACGCACAGCCCTAGGGCAGCAGCAGAGAGCAACCGTCGCCTCTTCCTCTCGCCGCCACGGCACCACGCCGTCGCCGAGAGATCAGACCTCGCCCTCCCTCTTCCATCCCTATAACCTCCGCAGCAACTCCGGTAGGACCTCACGTCCTATCAATCTGGTATCGGAGATGCCAAGATCCCCTCCCACCACCACCCTGCCGCCCCCTGCCACCACCTCTCCATTGACGGTAACCACTTCCCCGCTGCCTGTTACTTGAGCGCCGGCTGCACCTTCGTCGTCCACGCCGGACCAGTTGGCTGCGGTGGTCGCCGACCTTGCTCGCTCCATCGCCACCATCCAGTCCTACCTTTTCAGCATGCAGCCGCCGCAACTGGCCAGCTGGCCGCTGCCGCAATCGGCCGTGGCCTCACTGCCGCCGGTTTTCCCCTACGGGCTGCCCGGTTACGGGACACCGACGTCTTCGTTCCAGGGCGTGCAGCCGACCGCCCTGGTTCCCATCCACCTACTGCGGATGCCGCCTTCTCCTTCGCCGATCCCGTCTTATGCTTTGGCATCGACGATGGGGCCGGTGTACACGATGGCGACTGCCTCGGCGGCCACGACGAGGGTCGCTCCAGCACCCACCACAGGCGCCGTGGTCCTTCACGGTGGGCCCCAAGTCTCCGATGGGATCTTCTATAGGGGCTCTGATGGTCCCTTCCTCTACGGTGGCAGCTCGCCGCCTGGTCACCCCCCGGCGCGTCGTCGTCCTCAGGCAGCGCTACCGAGCCAGCAGCCCACGGTTCCGGTTCGGGCACGCATCCCCCGCGCTTCTACAAGCTGGAATTCACGACCTATGACGGCGATGAGGATCCCCTGAATTGTCTGAACCACTGCGAGCAGTTCTTCCGTGGTCAGCGTACCCTGGGCCTCGGATCGCGTCTGGCTGGCCTCCTATCATCTAACTGGCGCGGCATAGACTTGGTACTATGCCCTCGTGTAGGATGAGGGCATGCCTACATGGGACCGCTTCAAGGAACTCTGCAATCTCCGTTTCGGACCGGCGGTTCGTGGCACCCGCCTGTCCGAGCTCGCCCAGCTGTCGTTCCTGTCGACGGTCCAGGACTACTCAGACCGCTTCAATGTGGTATTGTGCCATGCCCGCAACCTGTCCGCCCCTCAGAAGGCCGAACTGTTTGTGGGTGGCTTACTAGAGCACATCAAGGTGGACGTGGAGCTGTGTGAGCCCCAGGATCTCCAGACTGCCATGCACATAGCATGGGCCTTCGAGCGCCGCGCTGCTGCCATGACGCCAGCCCCTGCCCAGCGTGGGGCACGGCCACCACAGCGCCCAGGCCTACCAGTGCCTCCTCGACCGACTACAGCAGCACCAGCAGGCCCGGGCGCCCCTCTTGCTCTGCCCGCACCTCCACCAGCGGCCGGCCAGCAGGCTCTGGCTCGTCCCTTCCGTCGGCTATCGCCGACTGAGCAGCTGGAGCGCCGTCGCCAGGGGCTCTGTTACAACTGTGACGAGCCCTATGCCCGCGGCCACCAGTGCCAGCGGCTCTTCTACTTGGAGTCGGCCGACTTCCTCGACGACATCCCTACTGAGGTCGCAGCCATGGCTGCCTTTCCGGAGGACGCTGCTGCTCCGGCAGATGCGCAAGATGCAGCAGCCCAACCGACGGTCTCCCTCTACGCCATCGCCGGTATTCGGACAGAGAACGCCATGCACCTACCTGTCTCCATTCATGGCCACCGCCTCGTGGCGCTTCTCGACTCCGGCTCCACACATAACTTCATCGACGCCGACCTCATGCGCCGCCTACACCTGTCCACAGCGCCACATCCCACCATGCGGGTCTTGGTGGCCAATGGGGACCGAGTGCATTGTGAAGGGGTCGCTCATGACGTGGCGCTGGCCATTGGCACGGAAGAGTTCTCCATCAGCTGCTTCGGCATCAATCTCGGTGGCTTTGATGTCATCCTGGGTGTCGACTTCCTCCGCATGCTCGGTCCTATCCTCTGGGATTTTGAAGACTTGTGCATGGCCTTCACGCGGGGCTCTCGGTGCATCCTGTGGAAGGGCCTCGGCTCCCCCCTCGACGACATACGAGAGCCGGCGGTCCATGCGGTGGCTGCAGCTCCTGAACAGCCCTTGCTGGACCGCCTCCTCCGCCAGTTCGACGACGTGTTCGCTGAGCCGTGTGGTCTGCCTCCAGCGCGCCCCTACGACCACCGTATCCACCAGCTGCCCGGTACCACGCCTGTCGACGTCCAGCCATACCCGCTACCCGCAGCTCCAGAAGGACAAGTTGGAGCGGCAGTGTGAGGCCATGCTCACTCAGGGCATCATTTGGCCGAGTACTTCGGCGTTCTCCACTCCTATCCTCTTGGTGCGGAAGGCCGATAATACTTGGTGCTTCTGCATCGACTACCGCGCGCTCAACGACAAGACATCCAAGGACAAGTTCCCCATCCCGGTGGTCGATGAGCTCCTGGTCGAGCTCCATGGCGCCCGCTTCTTCACCAAGCTCGACCTCCGATCGGACTATCACCAGGTGCGCATGCACCCGGAGGACGTCGAGAAGACGGCGTTTCGCACGCATTATGGCCACTTCGAGTTCCTGGTGATGCCTTTTGGCCTCACCAACACGTTAGCTACCTTCCAGGCCCTGATGAACGACGTCCTTCGCCCGTTTCTGCACAGGTTCGTCCTTGTGTTTTTCAACGACATACTCATCTACAGCTCGTCGTGGGCCGAACATCTACACCACGTCCGCCTCGTCCTCGATGCGCTCCGGGCACACCACCTCCACCTCAAGCGTTCGAAGTGCTCCTTCAGGGCGTCTTCGGTCGCTTACCTCGGCCACATCATCTCCGCCGACGGCGTCGCCATGGACAGCGACAAGGTGGACGTTGTCCCATCCCTACACTGCGCTTGGCTCGGGGGCTGCGCGGCTTCCTCGACCTCGCAGGATACTACCGCAAGTTCATCCGCGACTTCGGCACGATCGCGACACCCCTCACTCGGCTCCTGCGCAAAGATGCCTTCTCCTAGACCGAGGAGGCTGAGGCGGCTTTTCAGGCACTCAAGCGCGCCTTGTCAACGGGGCCGGTCCTCCAGATGCCTGTTTTCGATAAGCTGTTCACCATCGACTGCGACGCCTCCGGTGCCGGTTTTGGGGCTGTTCTCCATCAAGATGGCGGCCCGCTTGCCTTCTACAGCCGCCCGTTCGCCTCTCGTCACCTGAAGCTCGCGGCTTACGAGCGGGAGTTGATCGGTCTTGTGCAGGCCGTGCGACTTGGCGCCCGTATCTCTGGGGGCGTCGCTTCCTCGTCCGCACCGACCACTTCGCCTTGAAGTTCTTGCTGGATCAACACCTCTCCACCGCGCCGCAGCATTAGTGGATCAGCAAGCTCTTCGGCTTCGATTTCACTGTGGATTACGACCCAGGCCGGTTGAACACGGTGTCTGACGCCCTGTCCCGCCGCGACTTCGACGCCGTTGCCATTGACACCGCGGTGCACGCCATCTCAGGGCCCTCGTTTCGCTTCATCGACGACATTCGAGCAGCCACATCCACCGCCGACGATTCCTGCCGTCTCCTACAACAGCTTCAGGATGGCGAGCTCGGTGAGCCATGGCGCCTTGCTGAAGGTCTCCTACTACATGGGTCCCACATCTATGTGCTGGCCCATGATGATTTGCGCCACCAGGTCATCACGCTGGTGCACGCCGCTGGACATGAGGGCGTCCAGAAAACGCTCCAGCGGCTCCAGAGCGACTTCTTCATCCTGGGTGACCGCTCTATGGTCCAGGATTTCGTGCGTACGTGCAGCACGTGCCAGCGGAACAAGACTCAAGCTCTACTTCCAGCGGGTCTACTACAACCCCTCGACGTGCCGTCCCAGGTTTGGGCCGACATTTCGATGGATTTTGTCGAGGGCCTGCCCAAGGTCAATGGCAAGTCTGTGATCCTCACGGTGGTCGATCGCTTCTCCAAGTATGCACATTTCATCGCGCTCGGCCACCCCTACACTGCTGCCTCCGTCGCCCGTGCCTTCTTTGACAACATCGTGCGTCTACACGGGTTTGCCTCCTCCATTGTCAGTGACAGAGATCCGGTGTTCACAGGCCATGTGTGGCGTGATTTATTCAAGATGGCAGGCATCACATTGCGCATGAGCACGACCTTTCACCCCCAGACGGACAGTCAGTCTGAGGTTGTCAATAAGGTGTTAGCCATGTATCTTCGTTGCGCCACAGGTGACCGGCCTCGTGCGTGGGTCGAGTGGCTGCCATGGGTGGAGTACTGCTACAACACATCCTTTCACTCTGCCCTGCGTGCCACTCCATTTGAGGTGGTCTACGGTCGGCCTCCGCCGCCTCTATTGCCGTATACAGCGGGGACAACCCATACTAACAAGGTGGATGTTCTCCTTCGCGATCGCGATGCCTTTCTCGCTGAGGTTCGCGAGCGCCTCCTCCAGGCACAACAGCTGTCCAAGAAGTACTATGATGCCTCTCATCGTGATGTGGAGTTTGCTGTGGGCGATTGGGTGTGGCTGCGCCTCCTTCACCGCACAGCACAGTCCTTGGAGCCCCGGGCCAAAGGTAAGCTTGGCCCTCGCTACGCTGGGCCATTCCAGGTGCTTGAACGCATTGGACAGGTGGCCTACCGTCTTCAGCTGCCCGAGGGTGCTCGCCTTCACGATGTCTTCCATGTGGGACTGTTGAAGCCGCACAAAGGTGACCCTCCAGCCGCTCCAACAGCCCTGCCTCCGACGCTGGATGGTCGCCTCCTTCCGGCGCCTGAACGTGATCTCTATGCTCAGCTTCGTCGGGGTGCTTGGCAGGTCCTCATCAAGTGGCACGGTTTGCCCGAAGACGACGCTACTTGGGAGCCACTCTAGGAGTTCCAGGATCTCTACCCCAACTTTCAGCTCGAGGACGAGCTGTTTGTCGAGGGGGGGAGAGATATTATGACCGGTATACAATATACCAAGCGCTGGCGTACAAGTGGCTAGGGGCGCCCAGATCAGCCCAGATCAGATAGGTGGTGCCTAGAATTAGATGGGCTAATAGCCCAATTATCCTTGTTTTATTATTTGCTATTTCCCCCAAATAGATATTTATTTCTTAAAATAGGGCCTCTTAGAGGGGATATATATATCTTGTAAACATTATTGAAGGAATCAAGCAAGGCAAACATTATTTGCCTGGCCTCAAGGGCCAAGGGCTGCATACGTGACTTCCTTGCCTCCCTGCCTCCTCTCACGCATAGCCCTAGGGCAGAAGCAGCGAGCAACCGTCGCCTCTTCCTCTCGCCGCCATGGCACCACGCCGTCGCCGAGAGATCAGACCTCGCCCTCCCCTCTTCCATCCCTACAACCTCCGCAGCAACTCCGGTAGGACCTCACGTCCTATCACTAGCACACCTGATGTGCGTGCCTACCTGAAGTTACATGCTAGTACCACATACACAAACAATTATTGCTCCAAATCCATCTCAAGCAAAGCAGCTTGAAACACCTATGATCTTTCTTCAATTAATCAGAGTTCTATGTCATAAGAAGATATAAACACTCTGCACAAATTCCTACTATGGACAACAAAAAAATCAGTCACAGAATAAAGGAAAACTTATATCCCTTTCATTTAGCTCAGCTGTTATTTCTTGACCACTGAACTCAATGGAGAGAACTAGAAAGAGAGAAAAAGTGGCTACAAACTTACATCAGCAAGTTCATCCAAAACAAGAAGCACATTTTATCAGAAATAAAAAATGAAAAACAAGCAGATTAGCAAGAGAATATTAAATAAAAATCAAGGCCGAGCACATCAACAAGTGAGCCTAGTAAATAAAACTCAAAGGTAAGGTCATCTCCGAGACTCAGACCATACCAGTTGAATCAAAGCAAAGGATTGTCATGAAATTTGGGTTCTCTGTGAGAAGTATACTGTTCTCTTCCAGTTCATCTCGTTCTCCATCAAAGTGAACAGTCTATGTTTTCAACAATTACAAGGCAGTGGATCATGATCGAGATCATTTAGGTTCACAAGCATTTCCTAGGTAGACTAGATAAAGCACCAGCATGCCAGTACCTTTTAGGTACGTTGACTATTACTAACAGGATAAAATGAGACCGAGAAGAAACAAATAAGCATCTTGACATTTTGTTTCTCACTATTCCAAAGCATTTGCAGCTAGGGAAAAGAACAAATGCAATATTTGTATCCTCGAAAAATCCAAATAGACCTGCTTGCGTAGGACTAGGAGAGACTCCGTGTAGCATAACGCGTTCAACTCAGATCCATAGCGGAATACATGATTCATCTGAAATCTAACGCAAAACTGACCAAATCGTCTGACAAAGAAGGCCCAATTCGCAGATGGTTTTACAATCGAGTAAACGCACCCAATTAGACATTCTAATCGCAATTAATTCGAAGCTAAATGACCCGGTCAACAGGGAGCAAATTACCCATTCCTAGGAGGGAAATCCGCCAAGGATAGGTCAATTTGATTCGATTCCTCTGTAAAGATCCCGGCTTTCCCCACCGAGATCCCCAAATCCGCACGCAACCCCATCTGAAATCGGTGCACCGGGAGCAAGGCACCAACCTGATGGATGGGCGGGAACATGGAGTTGGTGCAGACGGGGCACTCGAGCAGCTCGTGCACGCTGGTCGCCGGCGGCCCCCCGCTTGCTCCCGCTGCGCCCGTTGCCCCCGCCGCTCCCGCTCCCGCCGGGCCCGCCCCGCCGCCCCCGGCATTCACCTTGGGGAACGCGCGGCCGGCACCCGAGGATGGGAGGTGGGCGGGGTGGAGCGGCAGGCCTAGATGGCCGTGGTGGCCGTGGTGCGGGTGGCCGTCCACGTCGTCCACGTCCATGGCAGCGTCCGGGAGGGAGAGGCACTCCACGCTGTCCATGTCCATGGCCGCGCCGCGCCCCGCGGCTGAGGTGGGGCTGGATTCGTTTGGGGGTGCGCTGGGTTGGGTTGACTGGGGACGACGACGACGCGGGGGAGATTTAACTGTTTACCTTTAAAAAGATTGCCACCTCCTCGTAGCATGTCAACGATTGTCGTTACATTTTCACTAGAAAAACAAAAACAGAAAACAGATATAAAAATGTCACTTTTGTTTATATGGCACATCAACCCTCGCGTACGAAGGATCAAAGTCAGCGTACGGACGTCAAATATCTCTCCTACCCCTGCCTATTTTTCTACTCCCAGCGCATTCGTCATCGGTGTCCTGATATGATCCTACTGTCGTCACCCGCGTCGTGGACAAGGAGATGCTAGCCCTGTTCGCTTAGAGAATCTGGAGGAATCTGTGAGAGAAAATCATCCATGAATAATGAAATTCAGCCGTGAACAGTACTTCCTCCATACCAGCCGAATGAGGCCGCTGCGACTCACATGGAGGGGGAAGGGCCTCCGGTAGGGGCCTGACTGGTCGGCAACAAGGTGGCGACGTGGGGCCCACCACGGGCCGTGCTGGGCCGGCTCGTGGCCATAGGGCGCAGGCGGCGCTGCTGTGCAGCAGCATGTGTGCGGGGGGAGAGGCCTTGGCGGGGCTAGGCTAGCCCACACAACCGCGTGGGGTTGGCGGCCCTGATCTGCTTGGGAAACCGAGAGGCAGGGGCACGACGACGGGAGGGCCAGGGGCACGGGGAGGGGCCTCGGTGGTGCCGGGCTGGCCCGCACGACCACGTTGGGGCGGCGATGGCGGCAGCGGCTGCCCTGCTCTGCTCGAAAAAATGAGAGGCCGCGGGACATGCGCCGATGGCCATGACCGTGTCTCCTCTCCACCTTGCTGCCGGCGCCCGCGTCGAGGACAAGGAGACGACGGCAGCGAGGCGGGCGCTGGTAGCGAGGCAGCCAAGGAGACGGCGGCGCGGGTGCTCTGCAAGCTCACCGAGAACTCAAACAACGCGTGGGCCGTCGCAGCGAATGGCGGCGTCACGGTGCTGCTCGACCTGTGCACGGACCACAGAGCGAGCAGCGGCGAGCTCGTGTGCGCAACGTGCTGGGTGCTGAGGAGCCTCGCGGGCGTCGACGAGATCAGGCAGCACACCGGACCTCGTCAAGGGTGGCGACTCCGCCGGGACAGCCGCGACGGAGGAACGGAGCATGCTGTCAACATGGTGCTCGCAGGTGGTGCTGCTGGAGCATGAGGTCGTGGGGCGCTGGAGCCTAAAGCCATGCTAGAGCTTCGCGTAGCTATGCCGCGCCGGTGTCGCAGAAGATGTTGCCGCCATATTCGTCGTTGTTGAGCCCAACGAGGGGATGCGGCTAGTCCCTTCGGTCCAGTTCGAGCAGCCCCGTGGGAGGCTATCGGCCGCCGCAGGAGTCCTCGCCGCCGTCTCTCCTCGCTCATGGCAGCAGCCGCTACCGTCATTCTCATCGGAGGACCTACCACAGCCACCTTCCCTGGGTCTCCGATGGCGACCTACCCTGGGCCGCTCTAGGCAGAGCCATTCAACGCGATGTCCGGCCAGGTTGTGGCGCTCGGCGCCGGCGAGGTTGGCTCCGTCAACGAGGCCGTCTGGAGGCTCGCGGCGGCGCTGCACGATCGCGGCGAGGGCGCCAACGAGGTGGCCATGTGCGCCGCGATGCAGGAGGTGGAGAGGTGCATCGAGGAGCTCGCGCCGCTGCTGAGCCGCCTATTGGCCACCGTCAACAGCGTGTTGCGCACCGCGCTGGGCCTCTGCAACGCCGAGCTCAGCTACTTCATGGCCCTCGTCGCCGTACCCTACCGGGAGCGCGCGGTGCTCGGGAAGCCTGCCAGGGGGGCGGTTATTCCTTGTACGCGCTGGGAGTAGGAAGAGAGCAGGGGTAGGAGAGACATTTGATGCTCGTATGTTGACTTGGATCCCTACTGGCGCGAGGGCTGGCATGCCATGTGAGCAAAAGTGATATTTTTCTATCTGTTTTTCGTCTTTACTGGTGAAAATGTAGCGGCAACCGTTGAGATGCTACATGAGGAAGCGCCGATCATTATAATGGTAAAAAGTTAAATCTCCCACGACGTGGTGCGGGTGGGGGCGCTCTGCCGCTCTCAGCTCACGTCACGCCATTTGTTTTGCTTGGATTGGCTCGAACACGGAGACTGCCAGAGACGACGCCGTCTCCTCGCGGGAATAGGAACGAGAGTGGGGATCGGATTTTACGAATGTCCTAAGTCTCGCCATGATGTGTTAGTCAATTTTTTTAAATATAACTAGATTTATTATAAAAAATATTTATAATATTTATATTTTAGATAAATTTATTATAAAAATAGATTCAAAGATCTATCAATGATATTAATTATGTCTCATAAGTATTAATACTTTAATATATATTTAGTCAAAGTTGAGTATGTTTAACTTCTCAAAAGGTGAGAATGACAGATAAAAAGGGACAGAGAGAGTAAGAAACAGTAATTCTAGAACGGTACCACATTAAAATGTGAGTTTGACTAACTATATAAATAAAAATACCAATATTTATAATATTAAATAAATATTATTAGATTTTTCACGAGATATATTTTTATACTATACTTATTTGGGGTCATAACTATTAATATTTTTATCTACATATTTGGTCAAACTTTAAACACGTTAACTAAAAATACACTTAGAATTTTATTTTTTTTATGGACAGAGGTAGTATATGGCTAGCAAAGTTAACCACTTAGGTGGCCTCTAGGTGTGGTATTATGGAAATGAAAAGGAAAGTAAATGAAGTTAAGTAAAATGAGATAGCCAAGTGCATATATGAGAGGATTATAAGATTTTATCCGTAGTCCTTTTGTTTGGCTTCATGTAGGACAGGGAGAGAGAGATAAGTTAAAATGACCAAAATATCCTTTCAAAGCAAAGCAACTCCCTATAAGCTCTAGCATAATAGAGGCTAAATATCCATAATTCTCTTGGTTTGGCTTATGTAGGGTAAGGAGAGAGAAATGAGGTTAAATGACCAAAATGTCCTTTCAAAGCAAATCAACTACCAGTAAGCTCTAACATAATAGAGGCTAGGGATAATTGTGTTCTTACCCTTGTCTAGTAAGTCAATTGTGATTTTGCCCCTATTTTTTTAACTTTGTGTTTTTATCCTTGTTATTTTAAACTGAATGGTCCGTTTGCCCCTGCTTCTCACGTTCGTCATATTAACATGGATTAAAGGAATTAAAAAATTCTAAATCTGAAAAGCAAGGGCTAAATGACCATAATGCCCCTCATCCTTATCTCCTCATCCTAGACTGAAGCACGGGTGTCGTCTGTCTACATCGGGCTCGGGCTGTTCGTGAGTGTGGGTTCCCGGCAGCGGCTGCAGAAGCACCGAAGGGGAGGCCGTGGCTCGAGAGCGCGGGCGCGAGAAGGGGCTACCTCCTGGTTGTGGGCGCGGGGCCATGGCTCTAGGTGCGGGCACGGCCTTCCTCCAGGCGCGGGGAGGGGCCGCGGCACCCGCCTGCCAGTCGGCCTGTGCGAGGCTGGGCGGCGGCGGCGGCACCCTGCCTCGGATCACCATCGGCATCCGCCTGTAGGTCCAGGCGTCCGCTAGCAGGTCCTGGTGGCTCTTGGCCGTGGGTCGTCTTCTACCTCTAGGCGCCCGGGTGTGTGGCTGTAGGGGCACACGCGTAGAGGGGCCACCCGCGTCGGGGGTACGGCTGGGCGGGCGCTGCGGCCGTGTGAGCTCGCGGCGCGACGGGTGCCATTGGGCGGGCGTCGCGGCATGGCCGGCGGGCTTGAGGGAGAGGGAGGACCTCCTCGCCCAGATCCACACCGCCGAAGAAGGAGACAAACGAGCTCCTCGGTCCCCATGCTGCGCCGTCGCTGGAGGGAGGAGATAGGGGGCTCCCCGTGCCGCCACCGGATCCGACGTCCCCGCGTCGAGCTACCACCGGATCCGTCATCCATGCGCCGCACCATCGCCGGAGGGAGGAGAGAGGGGGCTTGATCCCCCGCATCGCCACTAGATTTGGCCAGGGGAGCGGAGGAGCGTCGTCGGATCTCGTCTCCCGCCGCATCACCCGCCTCGAGCCATGAGGGACGTGGCTGCGGCCCTCACCACCGCGCCACCACGAGCTCCCCGTGGCGCCTGGCCATGGGTCTCCGCGCTGCCTCCTCCCCTCCTTCCTCCGTTCCTCCTCCCCACACAAGCTCCCGTGCCTAGACCGCAGAAGCAGAGGAAGGTGGAGGCGTCGCGTTCGGACGGAGCCGCCGACTCGGCGGTCATGCTGGTGCTGCCTATGACCCGGAGTCATCGCCCACCCGCGCCCGCGCACGCGCCGATGGCGAGGAGCCACCACGGGGCCGACCTGCCGGCTTGTGCACGCCGCTGCGAGCCTGCTCCGGCGAGCTACGCCCCTTGCCTTCCCCACGGCTGTGCTAGTGCCCTGGACCACCGCCGTTTTTCTTGATGCCGTGGACCGCCGCCGTTGCCAACTTCCCACCGTCAAGAACCGGCCAACCGAGTTCGCGACGTCGCCCTGGTGCTGTAGAGCCACCCCGCTCGCGCTTTCGTGGACCGAAGCACGAGATCGAGAGCTGCCCGTGCGCTATCCACGCGCCTCCCCCAGCGGCATTCGCGTCCTCGGCACGGCGCACAGGCGGCCCGGCCCCGCTCCCCGCGCGCCCGTCCCTGTACCCCCAGCGGCCATAGTCTGACCCTGCGCCCCGACAGCTAGGCCCCAGCACCACATCTCCGGTGGCCGCGCCATGGCCGGACGGTCGACCCCGCGCCGCGCGCAACTGAGCCTCGGCCAGACAGGGGCAAAATCACAATTAGGCATAAAAAACAGGGGCAAAATTGCATGGACATTCATGTCCTTTTGTACAAAGTTTAACACCGTTAGGGGTGGATGATGGAGCAGGGGCAAACTGGTTCTTCGTTTTGAAATCATAAGGGTAAATTCACAAAGTCAAAAAAATAGGGGCAAAA